TATTTTAAGTGCAAACAAATTGTTTTTCCTTTGTATTTACAGAGAATAAATATGTAAAAGATCTAAATGCTAAACATTGTTGCTAAGCAGTTTTTGCTTTCATTTAATAATCACAATATATTGTATAGCCAGTTGAATTTCAAGGGCACCAGGTACAAGGATCAGCAACTAGTGAGTTAATGATGAGACTTCCCTACTCAGAGCTAGGATGGAATCAATATCCAGATACTATTGACCATGAAAGCCTCACAGACAATTACTTAATGTCACCCCAGCTTCCAAGCAGTTCTACCGTGACTGGCTTAATACAGGTAAAATGAAGTTTGTTTTAGTTGCCTTTCCTTCAGTCTAATCCAAGAAAAATCACATGAAGAGACTATTGAGGAGAACTAGCTATTGAAATTGCCATAAATATATCAGAATCACTAAGCCCTAAAAAAGATAGGTTGTGTTCAAAGTTTGCTTATTGATTACTCTTAAACAATGATTCTACAGATCTTTGCTGAGGCCTAGTTCATATGAGTAAGAGTTTATAAAACTGAATTTCTGATTTTATTTCAATTAGTATCTCTGACCAGTGAAACACACACATTTATAACATGAAGTATTAAATGAATACATTCATCCCAGAGAAAAGCAACCACGACCAATGTTGCCTCTAATCTTTTCCATCCATGTGCAGAATACATTTTAATGTGCACCAACATTTGTGTGAATGTGCACCACTAGTAGCAACAAAAATCCTAGCTGTGGGCACTCTGCTAATCTCTCCTGAGTGACAGCACAAGTGCTCAGTGTTCAGGAAACACAGAACAAAACCTTTCAAAATTTACTTGGGGGAGGGGCAATAGTGTGGCATTCTATTCTGATCTGTTCTTGATAGTGGCATTTGCAACTGTGTAGTCCTGTTGAAATATGATGTACTTTCCTGTCCTGAATTAAGAGGAAAAAAATTCTGTCTGGCTCATTGAAACCAAGTATGTAAGTCAGGACAGATTCCTGGAGTATTGTACCATCCATTTCTCCAGAACAGTATCCCTTACACTACTGAAGAAACTAGCAGAAAGCCATTTATGTGTCCTTCTACAACAGCAACATCACTAATGCAAAAAATTATTTTTGATTGAAAACAGGGTATTTCCACTTATTTTGAAAGATGAGTAATATTTTATCAGATTTATCAAGTTAGTTTTTTTTTCTGAAGTCCCCAGGCTCAAGATGTCTTCCAGAAGATGGTCTAAACTTTATTACAGGAGATGATTTTCAAAAGAAATCTGAATTTATTGAAGACCCAGTCACCAATCCATCTTGTAAGTAAATGTGAAGTGACCATTACTTTGACCCTCCAGAAAGATTATTCCAGTCTAAATGTTGTCTTTTTTTCCCCCTCCCAGCACTGAAGTTGAATGCTATGACATCTCCTTCTGATTTTAATTTGGGACATAAAGAGTGGACTTCATGGAAGCCCAACAATCTGAATTTATTGAAGACCCAGTCACCAATCCATCTTGTAAGTAAATGTGAAGTGACCATTACTTTGACCCTCCAGAAAGATTATTCCAGTCTAAATGTTGTCTTTTTTTCCCCCTCCCAGCACTGAAGTTGAATGCTATGACATCTCCTTCTGATTTTAATTTGGGACATAAAGAGTGGACTTCATGGAAGCCCAACAAGCTGGTCCCTCTTGGCGGCCATGCTGCTACCAGACTAGGGCTCCAGTCTGCCCTTGCTGCTGCCTCAGTCCGCGGGGGCTCTCTGGCCATGGCGCTCCGGCACCAGTGGGGCCAGAGCGCCACAGCCATAGCTGCGCAGTTGGGGCAGAGCTCCGCAACCTGGGGCAGAGGTCTATCGCTGCAGCAAGAGTTCCATGACCATGGCCAGGCTACAGTTCCCTGGCCACTGCTGGGGTTGGAGCTCTCTGACCAGGGTCGGAAGTCCACGCCCATGACCAGGCCAGAGCTCTCTGCTCACTGGGGCCAGGGAGCCTTGCTCGGGCCAGAATTCCCCGCCATGCTGCCCTGACATACACACTGGACCTCCTGGCTGAGTTGCTGGTGTCCCTTGTGGTGCTTCTGTCCCACCATCAGCCATCCCTCTTCCTGGGCTCTGTGGTCTAGGAACATCCATGGTCCATGCTGGACTATGGATGTTGCTGGACCAGGGAGTCCCAGTTAAGGGTGGTACAACCTGTATCAGATATCTGTATGGTATCTTGTTAGATGCCTCTCAGAGTTCAAGGAAGTGTTTCAGTTGTAAACAATGTTGTGATATAGTACAAAACAGTAAAACTCAAATTTGTTTCTCTTCTTAATTTACCTTTACAAATTTATTCCTTATGTTTAGGTGTTCTCAACAGTGCAGCAGCATGCTTCATTGAATTCTGACTCTATGTCCCCAACTCCAAGGAGTGAAGAAAATATAATAGACATACAAGAACAGATGTCCGTGACGTCCAGAGCTTTACCAAGTGATAAAGAAAATTCAGCATGCTTTTTCAGTGAGAAAAATATTCTTTATAATTACAGGTTATGCTTCTTTTGCCTGCAGAGCTTTGAGGCTTTGTGGCACAGAATATGTTCAATTACATAAATTTGCTACTGTACAATTGATCTTGAGTGTACTAAGTGCTTTCTGGTATATGTCAAGCTCCTTTAACTTCCATTTGTTTCAGGTGTCATCTAGAATGTTTGTGTAAAGCTGTAAATAGCAATTAGCTAAAGTATCTTGCTAACCTGGACAAATTAATTAGGGCAATGTTATACTCTGTTTTTTTTCCTGCAATAGTATTTCCTCCAAACCCTAAAGAAAATCAAATGTTTTCTATAAAGGCATTGACTGGAGCTGAAAGCCAAGCAATCACCTTTAGTAAATTAATTTTATTTGCCTTCTTTTAAATTTTCTTCCATTTACCCTACTTTTAGTGACTGTGTTAACACCTTGGACTGTTATTTCTTCTCATGTTGAATTTAAGCAAAAAGATTCTTGTCATTCCAGAATCTTATTTTTCCACATGGGACAGTACTGACTTTTTTGGTTTTTTATTTCTGATAAATGTTAATGCTGAAATCCATGATTTTTTTGAAAGCACGTAGCTGACCCAGCCCTTAGTTCCAAATATGTATTAGTAACTGCAGCAATAGAGGCTATACTGCCAGAGTTTTGAAACAATATTTACAAAATACACTTCTTTAGTGGGACTCAGTTTTTGTTTGAAAATAGGAAATTAAACTATTTAACAACTCAATTTGAAATGATTATTAAATGCTGGTATTTACTTTGGTACTCTTTAGAGTACAGCAGCATGAAGGGCTTACTGCCTAGAGTATACACATGAAGTCAGGATGCATGAGGAAGGTGGAATATTTAGCTTATTCTGTGTGTCTAAGATAAAATAGTGTCTGAGGGATTGGTGCAGCAGATTGTTAAAGACATATTTGCCTTATAGGAACAGAGGATTCTTGCTGTTCAGAAGATGGTGACCTCTTAAGCCTCCAGTCTGCACTTAGAACAAGAACTCCACTTATCACTGTTCCTGCCACTGGAGAGACTCCTGAATCAGAAGTTTATTCATGTGTAATGGACTGTGAGGAAGTCCAGCAATCCTTTGGGTCTCCAATAGCCAACGTTTATGGCCAGCCAGCAGTGTTTCCTGTCTCTGATTTTGGGCCTGAGGACAGGAACTATGAAACCTCTGTAGAGTGCTCGGAAGGGAAGTTGATACAGCCAGTGGTTTCTAATGTGACTTCACAAAACAGACAAAGCAAGTGGCTGAAATATCAGAACACAGCTCAGTGTGATTTGATAACTCAAAACAGAGGTGATGTGAAAGTGACTGATGACTTCTGTGCTGAGAATGTCTTTGGAATGCCCCTTGCTGACACTAGACAGAGTCAGAGTGATGCCATGAATAAAAGCCTTCCAGACTCTGTGCATCTGCAAAGGATAAGAGGCATACTTGGTAAACATGGCAGAAATTTTAGCAGCCAAGATTCTGTTTCAGAAGGGAAGATACTTTCTCTGCACTTAAAGCAAATTCCTATTGCTGAAGAAGCACAGAAGGTGTTAGGTCAGCTGACTCACCATTGTGTAATGGGAGACAGTCAGGTGTGTAACTATTCAAGCAGACTGTATACCCTTACTACATGTTTGCCCCACTGGCAATGCATGTCTGGCTGTCCTATCTGGAGCAGGTCTGGCCAAAATAATCATCCTTACAATAGAGTCATGAAATTTTACCAGTTCAGGTCATTCACAAACCCCCACACCTGCTTATGTGGAAGAAAAGATCAATGACCAGATATCTGTGTTTAAAAAAAAGGTCTGGCGTGGAAAGATTTGCCAGGGAGAATGGTACAATATATTTATTGATAAAAAATAGCTTACTGAGCATTTCAACTGTATTTGTCTAATCTCCTTTGGGATATTACAGCTAAATATAGAATTTTCTATATACTGGTTGCTACACAATGCCAATTGATAGTTCACTGTAGAGACTAATAAAAATGTAGATGGTATCATGAGATATCATGATGGTATCATGGTATTTTCAAAACTGGACCAACCCTTAAACGCCATTCATCTAAACAAGTGAATTGTGATACCATCTACATTTTTTGTTAGTCTCTATCACAACCTACTTGTTTAGATGAACGGTGTTTAAGGGGTCGGTCCAGTTTTGAAAATACCACGATGCCATCATGATCTCTCATGATACAATCTACATTTGTGTTAGTCTCTAAGGTGCTGCATGACTATTTATTGTTTTTAAAGTTTTTCCAATTTCAGACTAACATGGCTACCCCTCAAACTTTTTAATTCATGGTTCAGTTATCATAAAAATGTTTTTGTGTGACTAACTCCTGGTTCATCCACTGCCACGTATAGACTTGTACGCCCTGAATTTTGATGTCACGCAGGTAACAAGAAGCCATTTGTGGTGTTAAGTTTTTGTCCATAATTGGCAAGGCCACTTTCAGTAATTGGTTATTCTGATTGAGAACACATTTTTAGCACACAAACATCAAATGGAAATAGATAATTTATAGGCAAATAACATTTGGATGTGCCTATACTTCCTTATGCATAAACATAAACATAGTATTGCACTAGATATTTCCAGATTCTACGTTATTTGGTTGTTCATAATGATTGTGCCCAAACTGTTCTGAGAAAAATACTTTATTCTTATTTTCTTTAATTTTTGATGGGGGGGGCTACTCCAAGAATTTGAAAAGTGGTCAAGGGCTGCACTCTTCCATATTAATGGAGTCGATGCAGGGCCTGGGATGGAGGTTGGATGCAAAAGGGAGCTTGCAGTAAGGGACTGGGATGCAAGAGACGGTGTGGGGTCTGGGAGGGAGTTTGGGTGAAGAAGGCAGTTGTGACCTGGGTTAGGGGTCTAGGATGCAGGGGCTTAGGTTGTGACCTTGGCAAGAGAGGGTTGTGACCTGGGGAAGGGGACTGGGGTGCAGTACCTGGGAAAGGATATGGGGGCAGAGGGTTTGGGTTATGTGGGGTAGGAGTGTTGAAGGGGGGCCAGAAGGTTTGGGTTGTGACCTAGGGCAGGAGGAGGCTGTTATCTGGGGCAGGAGATTGGAGTGCAGGATCTGGGAGGGGATATGGGTGCAGGAGGGGCAGAGGATTTGGGTTATATGGGGTAGGAGGCAAAGGACTGGGGTGCTGAGGCAGGTTCTGGCTGGGAGACTTACTTGACTGCCAACCAGCAGCCTTCTCAGACTCCCTGCCTGCCCCGCCCCTGCACTGGACTGTTCTTTTTGAACAGCTAAGTGCAGAAGGAGAGGGAGAAGGACGTTTCACAAACTGCCTGTTGACTAGAGGAAGCTCCCATTGGCCAGAACCAGCCCAC